TTCATGAACACGTCACATATCACAGCACTAACATTTAACGAATATTAACGAAATGGCACGCAAGAATAAATTGGGTAGTCAACATGTCATTTTTTCACGTCTAATAGTTCATCGATTCTCCACCTAAGACGCTGCATGAGAATTTCTGTCATATGGACATGTCGGTAACGGTACTAAGCTATATATATTCTGTATTTATCGCGTTTATTTTTTTGTAAACAAATTTTTGAATTATAAATTAGCATTTTGTATGTTATTCAGTAATTTACTTTTATCGTATCAATTGATTAGGTCAAACTGTTACACTATTTACTTATACAATAAATCGACTAGGTAAATTCGACTAGGTTTTTATTCCTACCACAATTATGTCGCCACTGTCAACGCGGAGTTCACGGCTACGGGACCAGGAGCCTTAACTACCGCGTCGGTGAAACGTTAACTGCAGCTCACCGGTTAATTCTTTCCGCGATGAGGCGAAGCACTTCTTTCGACTGCCGCGCACTTCTATTACTTCCATTACTACGTAGTATTACTTACCGTCGTTGCAACTCGCGGTATTGTTAATTACGTTTTCAACGAGGATACCGCTATTCTACCGTAACGAACAGTATGAATAAAAATGATGTAACGGCTTGACATAGTTTTCAGTCAAAGACACTTTACACCGACCCAGATCTTCTACAACAATCGATCTTGCATGTTGTCTCTTGTGAATATCTCTAATTGAATTACCGGTGTCTTATTAATTGAAAAAAATTGATGGCGGTTATGTAAAAAATTGCTCGATTATAAAATAAGAATAAATAATCTTGACTTTTCTAATTTTGTCATCTTTTTATGTTTTACAGAGGTGTTTCCAGTAATATTTTAAGAAAATTGGAGGTCCAAAAAAATTGCGAAGTCCAAAGAGACTGTTACGAAGATGAAAACGACGGCTTATTGGTATGTAAATAACTTATTACTCTTACAAAAAATTAAAATTAAATTTTCGTGCTAATCATAAAACGCGATATTTCGAGAAAATCAATTCTGCTCCACATAACACTTTATATTTATACATCCATGCAAATTTTTGGGTCAGTGAAGTTGCAATGTTTCACACGATGTTTTACGTGTCCCATGGGTAATTCACGTACTCGGTTCGGACGCACTCGATTCTCGATCGAGCTAATATCCGGGCGGTAAGTCGGCGCATTAATTGCATTAATTCCCGAAAGTAGCCGGTGCGACCCGGCCGCTTCGATCGGCGATAGCTGACGAATCGTTGCATATATCGGCGATAACACACGTGGGGTCATCGTCAACTCGACGAACAAAGATACGGTCAAGCCGACGTGGGAGTGTGGAACGTCTGGTCGCAGTAGCGCATTTACATTTGTAATCGCATCGTACGGGTCGTATTGCCTAATCCGCTCGTGCGACTTGCAAAAGTCCGATCGCGTTGAGTGCCGATCGAATGAAGCAGATGCGGACGAGACGCAAGCCGGATGTGTACGTCTGGATCTATTTTTATTAACCCCGAAGATCGCTGCGAGGAATGCCGGTCGTGTCAAAATTTCGATATTAATATTTCCGCTTTCATATGCAGATATTAAAAACTAATTTAATTTTATTTCAATTTCACGACTCAATTTGTAATCTTAATTAGGAAAAACGAATGTTGTGAATTAAATTCTTAATTCAATATTAATTACATTTAATTTTTTTCGGACGTTTTTACTTTGTTTATTGGAATTTTATATATATATATATATATATATATATATATATATATAATATATATATATGTATATATATATAAATATATATATATATAACTCTATACTGTTCTCTATTATGCGTTCTGTCTTTAACTTATGCGTTGCATACTTAATTTACAATTCTGTTATAAACTCTGAGGTTAAGAATATGAAGAACTCGATATTGCGTTATTGTAGTTTTTTCGCTTATCATACTTTCTTAAAAATATAAGAATAAACAAGTAAACAGGAATTCATGCGATAAAGTGTAGAAAAAAAAACAGCGTTTCTCAGCAACCCAATTAAGATTACGGCTCATCCTGTAGCATCATCAGTTTTATCATTGCGCAGAAGCAAAATATAACATAAATATTTATGTGACATAATTAAACTTTGCTACAGAGTTGGACGCGGATGAAACATTGTCGACATTGTGCATCTCGCTTGTAATATATATATTTCCGTAATTGAGTGCCGCCAATTAACTGACAGCTATTATTCATATTTTATCTTGAATAATAGTGGTTCGAATGCCGTCGCTTTTTTTCTTCGTTTTCTTGTTCGTAAAAAAATATTTTTGCGCCGTGTAACATCGCTAGTGAAAAATTGATAGCTCTTACAAAACGAACCGCTATAAACAAATGATACAACTGAGATTTATAGCTCAACAATTTTAACGCGTTTTATAATTCGTTAGTAACCGTTCGTGCTTCATGCACAAAGGGGCAAGGAATTCGCTTCGCTCATGCGACAAACGTTTTCCTATTTTGAAACTTTTAAAACAACGCACGACCGCACGAAGTTGAAGTATGCGTGCAGAAAATATTCCGCAAACTAAATCGTTACGCCGATGAAATATTGTCGGATGAGTAAATGTGACGGCAAAATTACTGCCACTTTATTAAATATTTAAATGTACTTTTTATTCAAAAATGGCAAAATGTCATTATGAAAAAGATATAAAAATTTTGATGTGTTTGGGAGAAAAAAATTTTGTAAAAAAATTTTGGTAACAATGAATTGTGTTACGTCTGGATTAAATATTACAAAGCTTCCAATTTCCAACAACGTCATTTGGAAAATTTATGGACGTGATTTTTATGTACGCACAGATTCGCATATATTCAACTTTATTTACTCGTTTACGAGGCGGCTTTACAGAAATGGTTAGCCATAAAAAGTTTATAATTATGAGTTATATTCTTTTCTCCGCAGAATTTTTTTCATTCTCGGCGATTATTAAAAAAATACCTAGTTCAGGGATTAAAGAGATAAATATTAAGAGCGCGGAAGAAGACAAGCTCGTCATTTCCCATGCATTTATAAAGCACTTCCGGCCGGATTATAATTTCAAATTCAAGTCTTGCAAGATGGAGAAAGACCTAGAAAGAATGCCTCGCTTCTTTTTAAAAGAAGAAATCGGTAGGCCACATCAAGGATCTTTTCCTCATGCATTCACGGGGATAAAAAAAGAACGCGGCCGCGACATAATATCGCATTCGAATACAATAGGCAGCTTATTAGCATTTCGTACGCTCACCGGACCCCTATCACCTTTGACCCTTTCGACCAAACGGCTTCTATACGCAGATACGCGAAGCTTCACAAAGTGTTGCCTTTCGTGTTCTCCTCCGCAACTTCCAACTTTCGCACCTGGTTTGAATAGTTTCTCCTTCTTTTCTTCTCCCTTGACGAGAGGCCAAGTTGACGACTAAACATCTTGAAAAAGCTGAATTCAACTAAAAGTTTTTGTACAGACTGTTTCAAAACTGCCGTACATTTTTTTCAATTGCAAAATTTTTTGGCCAATTCGGATTAAATTTTTTTCCAGCAAGTACTTTGCAACAATTTTCTTTTTTTTTATGACAATATATATATATATATATTTGTATAACTAAATTTTAAATAAAAGTTTTTATGGCAAAGAAAAATTACGAAATATTAAATTTTAATTGTAAATTGAAAAAAATTCAACTATCATATTTCTGGAAAATATCTCGATAATTGTATTGTGGTTGCATTCAATTTTTCTATCAAGTATCTCTTTCATAACTAACATCTGTAGGATTTCGATTAAAGCGTAAATTAACCGAATGATCGAGAAGCGATAGAAACAGCCACAGGTAAGGTTTTTTCCAGATGGGACGCGGTTTTAATAAAAAAAAGGTATCCGGCTCTTAAAGATAACTAGGAAAAAGAGAAGCTCGCCTGAGCTCGCCTTTCTCCTCGTTCTTCAACACACATCCAGAAAAAAACGCGTGTGCGCTCTTATGTGTGTGTATCCGCACCGGGTAAGAAAAGAAAATTCTTCTCTTTCTTTTATCGTTCAAGAGCGAACGAAAAGAGTTGGGAACGCATCCTGCAAGTATGTCCACGCCGGTACGTAGCTAAGTGAATCCGAGAAGAGAAAGCCACGGTCTGCGACGCCCTTCCTTCTTTTTTTTCCGACGATGGAAGAACAGTTAGAAAAAACGCCCTGGAACCGGTCCAGGTGGAAGAATGTATGTGCGCTTTCGTAAATCGGTAAAAGGTGAACACCTGGTCTACTCGTTGCTTTCGCGCGCCACGCTGAGATTTAATGGAATTGAAGATTACCGCAAGTTTCTTTTGCCATTGTTGCAAGCGACGTCGTTAGCCGTTTTCGACATGTTACCGCGGCAGCCACTATTATGAGTTTTTTGGTCATTCTGTAATTTTAGCTCGCGAAATGATCGTTATCTCCTTTCTACCGTCGCGCTTTAATGTGACTCGCCTGTTTTTAAACTCGTGCAAAAAAAGGTTATTGCTGGTCATTAAAAATTAATGAGAGCTTAATTAGGATAATTGTGACGTCGGAATATTTATCGACTGTTAATCGTAATCATAAAATCATTGAACAATAATAAAACAACTCGTTCAATATGCTGAATAAAATGTGTACAATTAAAAATGATAATTCTGCGTATTATTCAAAAATATCGCCAAACGAAATTTCGTATTAAATATTAATTCTTTGTCTACATTAAAATTTACGTCACATATTACGTTAATTAAAACTTTACAGCATTTCAATCCAGTTAATTTAGATGCGGTATTAAATACACTGTCCGGGCGTATCGATCGAAATAATCGCGCAATATTCTATGCAAATCGCCGGGGCTTGCCGACGACTATCCGTAAGATTCGCCGGCTGCCATTCCCAATTTGTACCTCGTGGAACCAATAGAACGACAAAGGACCATCAAGAGCGTAGGACTCTTCCGGATAAATCGATTCCTCCCATCCCAGCGGTGGTTCGTTTTCTATCTCATACCGGAGATCGTCGCCGTCATCGTCGTCGGTTGCCTTTTCTTCCGCTCTTAAGCCGGGACAAATTAACGCTTCGGCTATTCTCCTTTTACCCACGTCGACAATAACGCGCATCGCGCCGAAACCACTCGTCCTTTCCCGACGCCGAGAGCCCCGGTAATTAGCATAATTTACGATTAAAAAAACCGACTCTTTTAGTGGAGAGACGGCGCGAACAGCGAGTAAATCGCGGAGAGGCGGAAGCGAAATGCGGATGCGAGCGCGGAAGCTCTGATGGAAGGACTCTTCAAGACTCGTCCGCGGATTCTAAGAGCCGCACACGGTTCGAGGATATCTCAATGTTTTTCTTCCTTTTTCTGTCTTTTGAGGCAAAGAGGAAAACGGACTGCTCATTAATTCTTCAAAATTAATATAAGCACATGAAGGTATATGCAATTACAAAGTAATAAGAAGTAGCGATGTTGACGACGATAAAGATAATAAAAGTCAGCACACATAATGCGTGAAAAAGTACAAGCTTATGAACGAAATTACGTAATATGCCAGTTCAATGTACGCATTCCGAGCCTTATCTAATGGCCACTTTTAGCTGCGCGATAAGTAACGCCTCGTTTATCTCGATAAGTACATACGTGAGCTAGATCGAGATAAAGCTGGGTCCCGTTGCGGTAAATAGCGGACGATAATAATTTACTTAGTGAATTTCGTCGATGGATCCCGACGATACGCTCAATATATTGGTGCGTCAAATTTTCGTAAAAAATTTTATTCACAAAAATTTATAAAATTTGAAAAGTTAGTAAATTGATAACATATTAACTCTGTTAATAATTTGATCTTCGGTAAAATTCTACTTCAATGATCAATAACGTAAGAACGAATCACAATTAATGCACGTGAAAATGCAGCCTTAAAATTAAGCTGGATAGAGAAAATATCGAGAAAGAATAAAGGAACATTAACGAGAGGGCTTACAAATGCGAAGCCTCGATAACGAGACAATAATGCGCGGTGGTCCATGCCAATAATTTCAATTTGCCAAGCAGCAAAGGTCTAACTAAGGACCCTTGAGAAAGGTATTGCATTGGCGATGCGCTTGCACCTGTGCGGATCGTGCAGCATATATGAGGTATTAATTTATCACCGCCGTAATTATTTGCGCGTATTTCACAGTCAAATTGCACTTGGAAATAAATATATGGTTTTTTCAATTTTTTCAGCACATATTGCATACGATATATTACTTTTTGGAAAAAGAGTATTGATATAAAATATCACAAAAGATTTTTCACCAAAATTTATTCTTATCAATATCTTCAATATTTTGTTTCGATTACAATAATTTTAACCAGTTCATTATCGGAAATTTTTAATTAGCAGCTCATTATGTATTACGTGCTAGCGAAGTAATTGAATCAATAATTAAGGAAACAACTTCCTAGCTCTACAGCGTACTAATTTCTATGGTCAACTATCCTTTCCGCTTTTTTTTCCCCCTTCTTCGTCGCGGTAACTGGCAAACTCGTCCTTGCAGTCTCGTCCTTCGGCCCAGGAGAGACTCATTAAGGAATTTCGCGTCGACCAGGGAAATCGCTATTATTCTCTGCAGTTCTTGTGGCAATCAGTGCGTGGCGACATCGCCACAGGTATCACGGGACCAAATCTACGCGCTATTTACCGCAAAATTCGAATCCCGCTGGGACCGCCGGGGATGCTCAGTTGCGGATGGCAAGATCGGAGATTATATCTGTTCTCACGATGGCAAATGTATTTTTGCCGACTTTCACTTAGCGGAAAGGCGATAATAGACAATTTATCGGCCGTTCCAGAATAATTTATCACCTACGCGTGAAATCATTCGTCGTTGAATCACTCGGCGGCTCGTGTTCAATATCTTTAATTCAGACGTGACTAATTCTTTTTGTATTTAATTAAAGAAGCGTGACAAATTATTGATGATTTAATTCGATGATGCATTATTTCAATACATTTTCATAAATTCGATATTTTATTTATAATAATAACTGATATCATTTTCTTTTAAAATTTTAATTACATTTTATTTTTTGTCGGATTAATCGTTTGTTGAAATTTTTAACCAAAATAGCATGAAACATTTCATGAGATGTTGATAATATCTCTGAAATAAATCAGGCATAAAAATAACTTCACCCGAATGTGTATTTATATATATGTATATATATATATACATTTTCATTGATATTGAATCGAGATAATGCTTTTGCAGATATATACATAACGTGATATTTCCATGAATATCCATTAACGAAAAGAAGAGGCCGTCAAACAAGGAAATAGGCAAAGTCCCTTAAGTACAGCTCCAGGAATTCTTACAAAGAGCATAGATAGTGCCTGTCGCGTACAAGCATGTACTGCAGTATTTTCTCCTTAAGGTGTGAATAAAAGAGAATACTACTCTCTATTTTTGTCTTGCAAACTCTTAATGCAAAGCGAGATTCCATTTCATTCGCATTTTTAGCATTCAAATTTCTTAGTCAAATTTAAATCAAGAAAAGATGTTGTTCTCAAATTTATTTGTTTGGATTTTCAATGTGAAGTTCATTAAAATTCATTAACTGCAGATTTGTGTAAATCCCACGCTTGCAGCTTTCCTAGAGAATCTTATCTCTACAATGAAATGAAGGAAAAGAGAGAGAGAGAGAGAGAGAGAGAGAGAGAGAGAGAGAGAGAGAGAGAGAG